ATGAACATTTCCCTTCTTGGAGTTCTCCATGCTGTATCTCTTGACAATTTTGTCAATGTARGWAGATTGGGATAATCCTATTATCCGCTTCGATCTATATTTATAGAGTCGAAGACCTAATATATAGGAGGCTTCTCCAAGATCTTTCATGGAGAATTGCTGTGAAAGCCATACTTTCACCGTAGTCAACATTCCTACATCATTCCCAATGAGTAGAATGTCGTCTACATACAGAACCAGAAACGTAACCTTATCCCCACTAGACTTCCTGTAAACACAGGGATCATCCGGATTCTGCTCAAAGTCAAACTTTCAGATCTGGTCCGATTCTTGGTTCAAGATTGATCCTTGAAAATGCAGATTTTCTAAAACAAGGAATGTGATTCCCAGGTGGGAGAGAGAGAAATTTTTGAAATTTTGCCCTACCTTCCTGTAGGGTTCGACCATCCATATGATGGATCTCTCATCCCCTCATCATCGTCATCTGGTATGTGGCCCCGGCTTTCTTTAGCCCAAAGGGCATCATCTTGTAGTAAAAATTTCCTAAATCCATGAAGACTTGATTATACTCGCTATAGGCAACTAGAAAGGAAAAGAGTTCGTGCCCCATTGTCGAGTCTATTAATACCTCCATATTGGGGAGAGGGAACTCGTCTTTTGTACAGGCTTTGTTCAAATCTCTAAAGTCAACGCAACATCTTAGTTGTCCCTCCTTTTTCTTCACCAGAACTATGTTAGCCAACCATTGGGGATGCGCTATGGGCTTGGTGAAACCTACCTTCAAAAGCTGTTCTATTTCTTCTTTGATTTTCAGTGTCACTTCCGGCTTGAAGATCCTTTGTGGTTGTTTCACCGGCTGATTCTTTGGATCTATGCACAGGCAGTGGCGGACTAATTCTAGGTTGAGTCATGGCATTTGGTCGTATGACTAGGCAAACACATCCTAAAACTCTTCTAAGAGCGCCACCAATTGCTCTCTATCTCTTATTGACAATTTGGCAGAAATGTACAAGGGTTTCTTGTCGGACCCATCGGTCACCATGTTAATTTCTGTTAATGACTCTTCAACTGTGTCAATGGAGTTCATCATGCTTTTGAAGGTGCTCTAACTTCATCGCAATATTCTAGCATTTCTCCTTCCAACTCCTGGGGTTATTTTTTTAACTGTTATTCTTCCGGCTCTCTCTCTCTCTCTTTATATATATATATATATATGTATGTATTTTTTTAACTCTTACGCGTGTATGATACGGATGTTATACCTTCGTGCTCAATTCAAAATTTGATCCATTGCTTGGTGACGTGGTCATAACAACTCCGCTTTGAGGTATGATGAAATAGTTCTGGTTGAAACATCACTTGAAATCTTTCGGTCAAAAGAACACAACGGTTCTCTTTTCTTATAAATATGCTTTTTTGAAAACATGTATACTGCGATTAGGCTACGTTTAACCAGCTATGCATAAAAATGAAATCGTTCTCATACCTCAGGGATGACCTTCTTGGTCGTGGGCGGTCCATCGCTCTCGTGCTCATTGACATTAGTTTAGTATTCTTTTCCATCATCCCCCGTCATCTGCACGCACCTGCTCCTCTTCTGTCACTCTAGCGTCCCTACGAGTTCGTCTCTAGGCGGCTGAGGCAGCTTCGTCCATTCAACTTTTGCTATCCGGGTCTCATCGTCATCTGCTAGATCTATGAAGTAAATAGCGTCTTGAAGATGTGTTTCGGATTTGCCAAACGGAGCCCTAGGGGCCAGAATCCTTATCAACCTCCCACGATACCTCGTCTTGATGCATTAATGGTACGTCAAAGGAACGAGGGCCAGGTCATTTATCAATGGTCATCCCAGGAGCGCATGGTAGGAGGTTCTTCCTTGAACCACTTGGAATTCCTGCATTATCCTGAACGGCCCGATCACAACTTGCCCCCTCGGTGGTCGAGGGGGTTCCATTGAAGTCTGTTATTTCCAGTGGGAGCCCCTTGACGTCCTCCTTCTAGATGCCCATGAGCTCCAGCGTGTGGATTGGCATAAGGTTTACGGAACTCTCAGGATCAACCATGGATCTGTGAACTCCATGTTATTGTGATCGTAGCTACATGGCTGTAGGGGGTGTCGAAAGACTTCCGCTAGTGCCTTGATGGCTAATCTCTACGTCGCCGAGTTGGCCCCTTGCTTGGCGAAGAATTGGCATAGTTCCTCGCTTCTCTCTAGCCTTTCCATCAGGGCATCTGCCTGGTGCTGTCCTACAGCCCCGACTACGTTGACACTACATCCTCGAGCATGTACTGGCAAAGGATTAACCTCTACACGAGTTGGTTCTTTGGTCACGTACTGATCCAGCTTTACCTTCTGTGCAAATATCCTTCTGAGGGAGAAACAATCCATCAATTCGCGGTGAGGTGTTTGATGGTACTCACACCACCTACCACCGTGCTTGCCTTTTTCTGGGTTTACTCTTGGGGGTGGTGGCAGCAAGGCGATGGCCCCATCTTCCACCAACTTGTTCATAATCATGACCACCTCCTCCCTAGTGCACGGAAAGGGGGGAGGCGTCGGCATGTCTCTTCTTCCTTGGGTGTAGTTTCTTTGGTACGGCCCTGATCTGGCCATACCATGGTTCCGGGGCCTCCTATCGACCCACATATGTCTCTTCCCTAGCATGCGGGTTTGTGCCCTTGACTGTCCACGCCGTCCTTTCTGCACATTTCTAGAGCTAGTTAAAGGTCTCTGCTTTGACCTTTTCAATGCCGATGCGATATGCTGGACGCATTCCTTGAATGCACTGTTCGATGAAGTTCCTCTCAGTGGCGTGTTTGTTGAAAACATAATGGGTAAACTTCTGAAACCTCAAGACATAGGCCAGTAGATCCTCCCTTGGCCCCTGCTCTACATTCCAAAGACCCACCATTGTCAGCTTCCTTTCTAGTGTGAACCATTTCGATAAGAATTTCCTCGCTAACTCCCCCTACGAATCGATGCTCCTAGGGATGAGGCTTACGAACTTTGAGAACTCTGGTCCCGTTAACGATTTTGAGAACTCTCGCACTTTGAGGTCCCCATCTAGAGCGAAGGGCCCTAGAGAATCTTCAAACTTGCTTATGTGTTCTTGTAGGTTGCCTCTTTGTTCGTCATACTGGGGCCATTGTTGAGGGGAGGTGTACCTGACAGGATACGACTTGTATATGATGCAATTGGAATAAGGCTTTTGCAAAACCGCTGAATCCTGCGCCCGACCACGGCTCTCGATCACCAGCCCCTGGGCGTATTCCTTCTATTCATCCCTGCTAAGGGGAATTTCAGATGGTGAGTTAGCACCGAATGAAGTGCTGGGATGGTAGGCAGGTGCGATCTCGCTTAGGACAGGCCAGGTTGTTGTTCGGGCACGCCGAGGAAAGTGGGCGTGACATTAGGGGCGAGCCAGTTGGGGTTGGTATTTGGGACGCCAGGGATAGTGGCGGCGGGTGTTTGCTTCGCATGGGCTGAGCGACTCAGCAGTATTTGGAGGGTACTTCTTGTCTCCTCCATGCTTTGTTCCATCGTTTTGAAGCGCTCCTCAAGGAGCGGAAGAGAAGCTTCGAACCCGTAGGTCTTTCTTGACAGGATCTCGATATCAACCTGAATGGTTGTCTCTGTTTTTGATTGGTTCTCGACTCCGAGGATGACATTTTCTAGGATGTTGTTTTGTTCTTCAGGGATGGTAGTGAGGTTAATTTTCCTTGTGGCCATCCTTCGTGATCGAAGGCAGAACCAGAGATTCTACTGTAAGGAGTAGGGGAGAGCGGTCTCTCTCTTTGAAGGACGAAGGAAGGTCTGTGAGAGAGAAGTAGGCTCGAAGGGGAATGAGAGAGTTGTGTGTCTAAAGATGCCTGTAGTGAGCTACTTAAGATTTCTTTGTCCCCTAACCACGAAGACGACTTTTGTATTTATGGAGGGAGTGCTGGGACCCCAAAAGGTAGAAGATGAGGACATTCGCTCTATATCAGGAAAGGAAATATACTACTTGCTGGCCATTATTGGATACACTACTTGGTGTCGCCACGTGTTTCATTAGATATCCTTGGGGATCAGCTTTCCTTATCCTCAAGATCTTCATTACTCATGAGGGCTACTACCTTTTTCGCACACTATCACTAATCCTACGTGGAGATATTGACATCACCGTCCGAAAGTCGATGTTCATTGGTGTCACGTGATGATTTGCGAGGCATTTCTTTGTAACGGTTCTGTGTGTTTAGGTACACGCTTGGGTCTCGCCGTGGGTTTGGTTCGTTGTCCTCCCGATCCGTTGTGGGTATGACCTCATCTTATAGTCAAGCGTGCTCATGTTTTTTGTGGGCGAATCTTTCTGGGGTCCGTTTAGCATGCTATGGGTTTATCACAACGATTGTGATTAGAATGTAAGTTAATCACAACACGGGTTGGTTGTTGATTCTTTGCAAGTATTTCAATGGTGGTGTTCTTAGTGTGTGAGTATTATTTGAGGGTCTACACCCGTATTTATAAGTTATTATTTACGGGTGATTTTCCCAATACACGGTGGATGTAATTGTGAGCCGCCCATGTGTGAGAAGCAGATCCCGTTCCAGTGATTGCAACCTGACTTCACGTGACTTCCAGAAATTCAATTAAAATTTCTTTTAAGGTAATGCTTCCCACGTAATTCACGTGACTTCCAGAATTCAATTCTAATGCCTTTCATTTTTGTCCTTACAATTCCATTTTTTTCATTCATGCCCAACATAATTAGTTTATATCCACTCATGCCCTTGATGCACTTATCATTTTAGGCGGGATGAATGATTGAACGAGGATATTCTGGTGATTTGAAGTCTGGAAATCTATATCTTCTTGCTGTTTGGTTGAAAATTTGTAGTCTCAGAAGATGCAAAATGCAAAATGCAAAATACAAAAAGAAAGAGGGTTGAGTTCGAATTTATCAAAATGTAAGGGTACAAGAGGAAAAATTCCCAAAGAACGCGTGTTCTTAGATGCCTGTATCTCTGTGACCGAATTCTGGAAACCAGTATAAGAACCTGAGGCCTTTAGCTCATACCCCATCCTTATTTGCTTTGAGCTTTCTATTGAGTTTCAGTTTCATTCTCAGTGAAGAAAACAATGGTGGTCAAGGTACACGGCCCAGCCTACGCTTCCTGTTCAAGGAGAGTCCTCGCTTGTCTGGTAGAGAAGGAGATTGAGTTCGATATCGTTCCAGTCGACCTGCTCAAAGGAGAGCAGAAGAGCCCTGAATTCCTCGAATTGCAGGTAATTAGCCAATCTTCCTCAAAAAGATTATTGACTTGGTTGGCTTTATGTAAGCTATTAACCACTGGTTTAATTTATTAATTGCAGCCCTTTGGCGTAGTTCCTGTGATACAAGACGGTGATTACACACTTTACGGTAGGCACAGCACAATACTGCAGGCCCTAATTAATTCACTTAAGTTGCTTGTCAAAAGTTCTAAATGGCGTTGAATCTGATTTGCAGAGTCTCGTGCAATTATAAGGTTCTATGCGGAGAAGTACAGGACTCAAGGAACTGATTTGCTGGGGAAGACAGTGGAGGAGAGAGGCGTTGTGGAACAGTGGCTAGAGGTTGAAGGGCAGAACTACCACCCACCCATTTACACACTGGTGGTGCAGCTTCTGTTCCACCCCAAATTGGGTCTCCCTGTGGACCAGAAGATTGTTCAGGAGTGTGAAGAGAAGCTTGGAAAGGTATTGGATGTCTATGAGGAGAGGCTCTCAAAGAGCAAGTATTTGGCTGGGGATTTCTTTAGCCTTGCTGACCTTACACACCTGCCCTTCACACATTATTTGGTAAATGATATTGGGAAGGAGCACTTGGTAAGGGATAGGAAGCATGTCTCTGCATGGTGGGATGATATTAGTAGCAGGCCATCTTGGAAGAAAGTCCTCCAGCTCTAGGATTCTTGGGTCGGTATTTGGAAAATGTTGGGGGAGGAGGTGTTTGTTTCTCTGCAATTGTCTTACTGTCTTTTGCTTAAGATTATCAATCTCTTGGTTGTAAGGCTTAGTCCTTGTGGAGAGAAGGAAAGAGAAATAAATAAGGTTGTGTTCTGATCAGCTTCAGTATTTGTGCTTTTAAAGCCCAAATTTTTTTAAGCCTCAATTTAAGCTTTTGTGTTTTGGAGAAGAAAGTTTTGGCATGGAGAGTGTCCTATCTTACTCCCAGAAGAACTTGTGTAAGATGAATTGTTGGCAATTTAGAATACTCCATGGATCAACTGGTTACCTATTGGTGGGATCCATTGCTGTATCCCCAATAGGAATTCACCTCTGTATTTGATGACTGAAGGTGCATCCTTTGGGGATATTGCAATGGATCCTGCTAATAGGGCTGCAACAGTATCTCTTCGTCCCAATTCTAATTTGAATTCAAATCCATCAAGACAGATCTGAATTCACTCCGTTTATAATCGGATTGAACATGAATTCACCCCTATCCGATTTGATCAAATTCGATTTAAATGCTCATATTTGTATTACTTCGTAAAGTTAGTTTGAATGTTGTGTCATGCGTGTAAGTTTTATCCAAGTTATTTTTTGTTCATTTTATTCATGAAATACAATATAAAAGCCATTATTAGTTCATTTTATTAATAATATATAATATTTTGATCATTCTTAACTTAGTTTATTAACACTATTAATCAATATCCAATTGCAATTCGGATTCAATTAAAATGCAATATAGATGGATATGATCCAATTCAAATTCGAATATAGATGAATCAGATTTGGATCTATCTATATCTTTTTCGAATCAATCCGTTTGCAGCCCTATCTGCAAATAGGTAAACCAGCAGTTAAGCATGTTAATAGAAAATGTAATTGGCTCATCATCATAAAAGTTTTTTGAGGGAGAAATTCTGGTGGAATCGTCCCATTTGGTTGCTAATACTTTAAAATTGTGATGCATCTATTGCTGTTAAATTATGTAATTTCATTTTATATATAAAAATAAATGAAAATTATAGTACCCCACACAAATATTTATTTATTTTTTATTTTATTTTGCAAAACCCACATCTGTCACCCACCTATCTCCTTTGAATTGTGTCAGTTTCCCCATCTATCACTGTTACAAACAGTGGCAATTTAACGTACAATAAGTGTTGTGGGATTTCTCAAGCCCATCTTTGATGATGGCTAGTCTAATAAGGTTGGGCTTGTTAGAGTCCAACGTCATAGGCTGCGCCTGGACTAACCTCGGCAATCAGCCCACCATAATATATACATTTTGGACAGCACATCTTCTGCAACCGTGGTTGCATGCAAACCCCAGTGAAATATGGATACATCAGTGTATGAAATGAAAATAAGTTGACGTGATATCTTGAATTTATTGCAAACCTGATGTGTTTTTATTTTATTGAAAGGTCGCAAGGCATGGTCACAGTAGTTGAGCGCTTAACATTTTGATATAGTATATGTTTGGTGTGGCTTCCATTTATTAAATAAAGGTTTGTATTTGATTTGTCTTTATAATTGAGAAAAAGTGGTTGATAAATGTTTTTTTTTTTGGGGATTTGTTGACAATTAGACGTCATTAAGCGCCATATCACTGAAAAAGTGAATAAACGCTTAACTGTTGGTGTGCACATAAATCAAGACCAACTTTTATCAATACCTATGCATACGAATCAGCATGATAGGATAAATGCTGATTTGGCGATAACATGGCACCATTTATCAAATAAATGGAAGCTATACCAAACACCACCATAATTATGGTCCTTGGTCCACTGGCAAGGGGCACTCGTGCTGAGCACTGGCATGTACCTAGAAAATTACTTAATTTAATTAATTTTATACAAATATAAAATTAAAATGTCTCCTAAATATGACATAAGGTCCCATTGGGTCCCACAGAATCTCCCACTTTTTCACTTCACCTCTCTCTCTCTCTCTTGTCCGTTTCTGGCTAGATTCTCCATTATGACACCGAGTCCCATACAATCCTTCTTATTTGTCACATAATATCTCTCTCTCTTTCTCCCCCAACCCTCTAGTATTTCCAAGCATTTACCCATCATGACAGAGTCCCACACAACCCTCCTTATTTTGTCACTTTCTCTCTCTCTCTCTCTCTCTCCAACTCCCTCTGTATTGCCTAGTGTTTCCCCATTCCACATGTACAATGAAAACACCGATATTAATATATATTTCATGTATAAGTCCAGACATAAAAAAGTGGAGACAAATTCAAATAAAATTATTTTTCTTATATTTATGAAATAAATGGGATACAAACTCTTTATATTTGAGCTCTTTTACAAAAGAGACAAAACTTTTGATTCTCTCTTTATAAAATACTTGTTGCAACTTGAAGATTTGTATTGGAGTTGAAGTTGAGAGTCGAATGATGTGTTTCCATACTTCAATGAATGGTAGAGATTACTCCCTTCAATTGGGTTTTGAAAGCTTGATCAAAAGAGGGAATCAATGAGACTATATCTTTGCTCCTCAAAAGATGGTGTGTGTGTTTTCTCCTTCTCCATGAGCCTTTTTACTTCATTTAGTTTATGACCGAAAGATCTCTTTCGTCTTGATGAGAGCTTCTATTTATAGATTTCTTGGTTTAATCTCATCCTCCCCTTGGTTGATGATTTGATTGATTATTCTTATCCTTTCTAGAGAGTAAAATATTGTAATTATTATCATTCTTGGAGAGAATGATTTATCATCCATTATCTCTCTTTAATCATTGATTAATTTCTATCTATAGGAAAATATGTTGACTAGAGATTTGAGTAGCTCTAGTTACCACTTATAGACAAGAAGGTTGACAAATTGCACTTCATGGAGAGAATAATTTTCCTTATTCTTTCTTCAATCATTGGATAAATTTCTATATACATCTTAATTGACTATAGATTTGATTATCTCTACTTACCTATTGAGGAGGAGGTTGGCAAATTGCTATTTATAGAGAGGATAATTTTTAATCAATTATTTTCTTTTCAATCATTGACTAGGTTTCCATTTTAGGACATGAGATCTACTTTAGTTGGATTTATTTCCATAAACCATCAAGACTTGCATTTTGAATTTAAGTTTAAATTTGAATTTGAATTTAACTTTAGAATGAGTTCCACATGGACCCTCTTCTTATATGAATTGGACTTGTAAAAGCAAGGCCCAAAATGGAATTATAGATTTGAGTATATGGCACATGGCTTAAATAGAAATGATCTACACTAAGGCCCATGAATGATAACACTCCTTAATAGAATCCTACTTAAATTCCTAAAAAAGAAAGTCCTAATTAAACAAAAATTTGGAATTCACGATCTAACGCTAACTTGGTAATTATTAACTAAGACAGAAATTCCACACTAATGCTAACTTAGTAAATTTGAACTAAGATAGAAATTCCATATTGACGCTAACTTGGTAATTGATTATTTGGTTGGATCAGTAACATCATCCCAACATTTTACGTGTCTTGGAGTGGTCTCAACTTGCATAGAACTTATTGGCCTTCTCTTGTTTTGCATTATCCTTCCCGGGTTGGAGAGAATCCGACCTTGGACTCAAGTGATCATTTGAATGATCACCAATACACGATACCAAGTGTTTGACATTGAAGACATCATATGGCTGGGTAGCTTTAGTCTATAGGCATTCTCATTAATAACTTTAACTATCTTCGACGGTCCATTCGGTAGATGGTCCTCTATTAAAATGGCCCAAACATAATCTCCCGCATCAAATACTACTCTCCTTCTCTTTTCACCAAAATGTTGTTTGTACTTAGCATTGGCTACCTCTAGCTTGTTGTGGATTTCTTTCTAAAGGTTCTTAAGCTTCTACACCATATCATCAACCTTGCCATGAATTTGGCATGGCCAAGTATTGGTAGCAAGATCAAGGTTGTTACGGGGATTGGCCCCATATACTACCTCAAATGGCATGTATCCTATGCTCCTATTTTTGGATCTATTGTAGACGAATTTGGCTTGCACTAATAAGAGATCCCGCAATCGTTCATGGCTAGCTGCAAAGGTTCTCAAAAGATTTTCCAAACTCCTATTGACTACTTCTATTTGACCATCCGTTTGAGGATGATATGAACTATTGAATTGTAATGGAGTATCCATTAGCCTCCAAAGACTTCTTCAAAAGTGTGATATGAACTTGGAGTCTTTATCTGAAGTAATCAAAAAGTCATGGAGTTTGACAATCTCTTTAAGGAATAAACTGGCAATAAGTGAGGCATCCATTGTCTTCCTACAAGCCACAAAGTGAGCCTTTTTCGAAAAATGGTCTACGATCACCATTATAGAATCTACTTGTCGCTGGGTACATGCAACCCGAGAACAAAATGCATAGATATATTTACCCAAGGTCTTTTAGGAACTTGGAAGGGCATGTATAATCCAACATTGGTTTCTATTCCCTTAGAAACTTGGCATATGTGATAATACTCCACAAACCTCGTAGTGTCTCTTGTCATCTTGGGCCAAAAGTAACTTGTTAAGATGAGATAAATTGTTTTGTCTCACCTAAAATGTCATTCATTATTAAGCTCTTTGACAATTTTTAGTTGTCATGAGCAATCAGATACACATAGGTAGGCTTCCTTGAATAGAAAGCCATCATATACCACAAAGTTTGTCCTGCTACCTACTTGCACATCTTCCATGAGACCAGCAAAATAAGGGTTAGTGAAAGATAATTCATGGAAAGTATTAAACTTAGGTACCTGTGCTCATAATGTGGATAGCATGGCTCTCCTTTAGTTAAGCGCATCTACAACTTGATTGTGTACACCCAACTTGTGTTTTAACACAAATGAATATTCTTGGAGGTATGCTACCCATTTAGGATACTTTGCATTCAAATTATGTTGCCCTCAATATACTTTAGTGCCTCATGATCTGAATATAAGACAAACTCTTTATAGATGAGATAATGTCACCAACACTAGAGCGCTTGCACCACTATATAGAATTCTACATCATAAGTTGAGTAGTTGACGCGTGATCCACTCAAATTTTCACTATAGTAGGCTATGGGTCTACCACCTTGGTTAAGAACAACATCGATTCCAACCTTAGAGGCATCAC